CGGAGTCTCTCAAGAAGCAGCCAAACGCAAGTGTGCCTGTGTAGCCGTGCCCTGCGGGGCCTGGACGCCGGGAGAGGCTGTCTGCATGCTGCCCAGAAGACCCTCTCTGGAGGCAACGTCACCCCTGCCCCAGCCCGCACCAGCTGCTGGGACTGATGCACCCAGCTCATGAGCGTGGCCTGGTCTCCCCTCCACCTCCAGCCCCGCAGTGGGTCGTCTGCCCAAAAGGGAGAAGGCGGGCACCACCTGCCATGTGGCCGAGGCTTCTGGGGAAGGCGGTGGCTCTCAGGGGACGCAGGGAGCAGTGTGAGGGGCAGCAAGGCTGACGCTCCTGCCAGTGGCGCCGGCCCCCGTCCCATCCCCCGAGTCCCGGGCCCTCCTTCCACCCGATGACTCACCACTGGATGTAGGAGTGATTGTCCTCGAGGAGCTCGTAGTTGCCTCTCCAGTTCTGAAGAATGTCCTCGATGAAGCAGCCTGGGAGCCCACGAGCCCACGAGTCAGCTGCAGGGGCCGCTTTACCACTGCTCGGAGCAGAGTCGGCAGGTCCCCCCGGTCCCTCCCCTGGAGCTGGGCAGTCTGCTGTCTGCACCCTGCTGATATGAAACCCACCCGGAAACTGGCCCCTCGAGGACCCATGGGCCCACGCGTAGAAACGGGTCTCATTGCCTCCCCAGAGCTCAGCTTGTTAGCGGTGGGTGTCTTTGACCAGCACCGCCCCAGCCTCCAGCAGGCTGCAGCCGTGTGGTCTCCACGCCATCGGCCTCCCCCGCTGTGGCTGCGCGGTGTCCCCATGTCCCGGTATGGCCACGCTCCCGGGACCGCCTCCGACTGCTGGACCACTCACAGCCAGCAGGCTGTGGCACAGAGGTGGATGTACTGCAGGGCCTCAGGGGAGACCGGGCTGCAGTCCCAGGTCGGGCTGTACCCGCTGGGCACGCGCGTGCCTGTGGCCCTTGCTGGCCGGGGAGGCTAGGAAACCACAGCCCGAGACCCCGTCCAGGGTGCCAGTCCCTCTCATGAAATAAACACGAAGGTAAACTGGAAAAGGCCTCGGAGCATGCTCACTGCACTGAGGAGGGCGCAGGGCGGGGCAGCGGGCACCATGAGCCCCAGGCTGAGGGGCCCTCCCCGGGCGTCCACCCATGCAGCTGCCTGAGAGCTGGGGCCCACCCAGCGTCGCAGGGGATGGCCAGGCCGGCCAGGGCACACACCGTCGGGCAGGAAGCGTATCTCGTTTCTGTAGAAGCTCAGGTTCGGCATGTCGCCGTTGCAGTCTAGATCGACCAAGTCCTGGAGGAGCGGAGAGGGGACAGTCGGCCGTCTTCTAAACACCCTGGGGTGGGGTGGGGCACCTGAAGACCGGGGTTCGGCTGGGGTCCCGCTCTCTGCAGGTGGTGACCAGCTTGGGTGGCTGCCTGGACCACCCGCACCATCCCTCACTGCCGTGCCTGGCTGGGAGCCCCCTTCCACTGCACCCCGGGCAGCCCAGGGTTTACTGAGACTTGCAGGTGCAGGGCTCAGGCGGGGAGGGCCTGCCACTTGAGACTGACACTATGACCACGTTTCAGCGTGGTCTTGGGTACTGAGGTCCAGAGATGACACCACGGGCCCCACTACCGCATGACTGGAGGAAAGGCCCCCAAGCCCGGTCCTGGCCCAGCAGGACCCGGGACACTGTGAGAAGGGGCCCCAGGGGCGCCGCGGCGACGTACCGGGTAGTGGTGCCGGTACCTGCGCATGTCCTGCAGGGCTCGCCAGTTTCGGGGTCCCGTCACTCTGGACTGGGAAGAGGAGGGACAGGTAAGGCCCCTGGAGACCCCTGCCAGCAAGCCCTGCCCTGGTGAGGTCATCTGCCAGGGGCCACCTAATAAGGCTGGCTGTTTTTTGCAGTTCCTTCCTCCAATTCCTCTTTGGGGGTTTCCCAAAAAGATCTGAACTCCAAGAAAGCACCCCAAGCACCTACGCAGAGCCAGAGGGTGGCGCCCTTGGGAGCGGCCCTGGCTCCCTCCCCCCTTCTCCTCACAGACATGCCACCACCATCACCCACGGCACTTCCTTCTCTGAGCTGTCACCAGGATGTGTCCCCATGGGCAGTGGCCTCCCTCCTACAGCCCCAGGGGACCCCAACGTCTGGCAGGGTCTGAGGGGTGACAGTCCTTCCCTGCTGGGTCTTCACCCTCACTGACCAGACGGTGCCCAAGAGGCAGGGTCATGACCCCCCAGCCCCATCTGGAAATCGCTTCTTGGCGAGCTGGTGGGCATCTTCACTGCCCCTATTCCTGCCAGCCACGTCCCTGGGGAAGACTGGAGGCAACTGTGGGCATGGGCAAACTCTGCCCCCATGGTGCTGTGAGGGTGGGCATGGCTGGGTGACCAGGCTGCAGGGAAGGGGGACCTGGGCATGACAGAGGGGCCACGAGGGGTCAGGCCCTCCCTACAGCCTAAACCCCTGAGCTCCAGCTGGGGCTCTTGGACAGGGAGGGCCCACGGAGGAAACAGAATCCCAGTAGAGCCACCCCACGGTGCCAGCTTGAGCTCTCCTGAGTGAACATTGGCATGCACACAACACTGAGTAGGACCAGCCCACAGGGCACCCACGACAGCCCAGGGCCAGGGAAGTGGACAGAGGAGGCAGTGGGCGGAGCCAAGGAAGTTGGGCAGTGAGGGAGGGCAGCTCCCGGGGTGGGGGGCAGAGGGAAGAGGAAGAGGCCAGAGGCCAGGGTGCCTCCCGAGGTGGTGCGGGTGCCCGAGCACTTCAGGAGGGGACAGCAGGACAACAGAGTCGCCATGCAGTGGGGCCAGGGTGGGCCTGCCGGGTGCCCAGCCTGCCCTGCAAGCCCTGACCCTCGGCAGGCCCAGAGAGGGGAACCCTGGCGTCCAAGGAAGCCCAGGACCCCTAGTCTCGGGGCCCACGCGCACTGGCCACTCTGCGGTACCCAGACACAAGCCCGACAACGTGCTGCCGCCGGGAGGCCCAACTCGGAGACCCCGCTCTGGATCCCAGTCACACCCGGCCTCCAGCACTCCC